AGTGTCACTGGCCCTCATATGTGGGATCCGAACCGGGGCCCTCTGGCGTCCCAAGCCAGTTCTTAACCATTGCGCCACTCGGCCGGCCCGCCACAATTTTTTTTGACAGACATGGTTGTGTGAATATAAATGGGTTTTTGATTACTTTGAACTTTATAAACTGTTGAAATTAAAGAAATGTTCCCTGTAATTGTGAATTCCTGAATTTTAGATTTTTCTTGTTTCCTTAAAACAGCCTTTATAGACAGTATACCAGAAAGCATTTAACATGGCTTTGGAGTGTATACTGAAATAGTTACTACTTTGTATTTCTCTTGCCATTTCATGCGACACATGTGCTTGGTTTCTAGACTGAATTCAGTTTAGCACTGAAGATTCTGTTCGATGTAGGCCATACAATTTAAAGGATGAGGGATTTTGTAAAATGCCTTTGGAATTCTCCAAGAACTATGTTGTTTTAAATGGTAGTTGCAGAGGCAAAGGTAAAAGGAAGGAAGGGGGCTGAAACGAAAATCTTGCTGTGTTGGGGTTTGGGATATTAGTTGATCTGTTAGTTGGAAGTTACTAGGAATATGTAAAATGCCTTGCCTAGGCCTAGCACATAATAAGAATTAAAACAAAAACAAAACACATTAGTTTCTTTCCTTCCTGGAAATAATTATACTTTTTTTTCTACTGATGTGAGTTTCCAAATTCTTGGTTAACGCTAAAAGATTATGTCATCTTTTCCTCGATGAGGTCCCCTGGTCCGTCCCCCCATCCCCACCCCAGCACCACACACACAGCCTGTAACTGTGAACAAAGAATGTTAGCAGCAGCTCCCTAGGGATCCTCCCACCCTCTGTAGGGGTCCTCAGTAGAACACTAGCACCTGAATTTGTATGTAAGCTCTAAACTTGTTCTACTTATTTCATAAGTGGTATCTTCTTTCCTCTCTGTCTCTCCCTCAAAACATCTCATCTTGATACAAAATAGGGAATTTCAACCTTTGAGGAGAATTTTCCACCAGCTTATGGGTGACAGTCTGACTCACGGTATATTTATTTAGATCCTGCACAATTTATGATCTTGTTTTGCAAGCCACCATGTGTAATGTTTGATTCATCATGTTTCCTACCCAACAAAACATCTTGTGTTTATTTAAAATGTAATTTGTATTTCTATTAGGTTGATGTGCTGCATGTCTTAAAAATACCTACTAAGCATGTTCATGTTCATGCAGTAGCCCATGTTTATGAGATATATGATGTGATTTAGTTAAAGCTGAACTTGGGAGTATCTAATTCTGATCATTGAGAGCATATGTTTTGGCAATACGTCACTTATTAGGTAGATTTCTACAAATCAAAAGCCTTATACAATGAATGAGTAATAAAGTTTCATCTTCATAAGACAAAGGGCCCAGGACATTAGAACTTTACGCAGCTTCATGCTATGGTAAATGCATCTTCTTCAAACAATATCAACAAGACGTTGTGAGGAGTCCTCTTAAATTGAAATCCTAGTGTCGGCTGTTATTTCCTTGACGAATACCTTCACATCATACTTCTTTGGTCGTGGCTTCCATCGAGATCACTAAAGAATCTCACCAGCAGAACATGTCAGAATGGGTCAGGACTGTCTCTGCTCTAATGCCTGTTGGCGATTGTCTTGTTTTTCTTGTAGACCATGGCAAAAGTTATAACCACTGTACTGAAGTTCCCTGATGATCAGACTCAGAAAATTCTGGAAAGAGAAGATGCTCGGCTAATGGTAAGCTTTAAAAGTAGGTTACAGACAGAAGAGGACTTTATCTTCCTTATTTACATTTTGTTTCATTTACAAAGACTTTGAACTGGTAAAAGAAATTTTAAATTTTTATTTTTTGTTACAACCTAAAAAATGAGAGTGAACCTACATTAAGAAAGTTTAACTTAGGGAAAATATGAATGGGTGCCTTCAAGTAAAGGAAAGTCTTATTTAACAGCATAGATGAGGTGACACCCATATGTGCTATATGGGATTTCCAGAACCCATGCTATTTATGGAAAGGACAGAAAGGTATTTGTTCTGGTATAACCAGGAATAATTTTTTAAAGCCAAATTATATCATGATGTTTTATAGGTTACAGTTCTTTATTTGACTTCAATTGATTTTCAGATACAATAATTATGAGGGGACGAATTTAAGCATTTTTGAACTTTTGACATAACCCTACATGGAAGTGTAGATAACTGAATTATTAGAAATGCTTGTGTGAAGTCAGCTGTGATTGAAATGAAACAAACACAAACTTCATAAATTATGCAGAATTCCCTTGCCTAACTCGTTTTTGCCCTGGACCAGTAATTTAGTTAGAAGACCCATTCTAGTAGAGTGTGAAACGTGAAGATTCGTGTCTTGCCCTGGCTTTCTCTTTCTGCTTCCTTGATTTTTTTTTTCCTTGCTAGTAGCCTGCAGCACCCTCCATATTCTCCCCGAGTTTCTTTACCTATTTCATGATCTCAGTACCGCTGTTCTCTCTCCCCACTGAAGCAAGCCAAGTTCTTCTCCTTAGTGATGGGTTAGCCTATGTCCTAGTATCTCCAGTAGGGACTGAGTCAATAAGTAATTACCTCCCAAAGCATCCCATTTTATCTGGACAGACTGTGTATTTCTTAGAAAACCTCTTGCTTATATTGAGCCCAAATCTCCCTTTCTGTAGTAGTGATCAGTGTGTTCTGGTTCTGACCCATGGGACTCAACCAAAGTCTGGAGCTGGCCTAGATGGAAGGCTTTCCCTTCCAGGCTAAATACCCCCAGCACTTACCAGCCATTTATGAAGTTCCTTTTCCCTGACCCATTGCACGGGGACAGTCTCGAAGGCATCCCAGTGCCTCAGACACATCCTGACCGCATCTTCCTGGCTTCCTCTAAGGTCATCCAGCATCCCTGACCTCTGTCCCAATACTCCACTGCTACTCCATTATACGCCTATTGTATATTTTCTGGGACAGTTGCTGTTGTTTTTTTATTTTTATATTTTTTTAATTTTTTAATTAAAAAATTTTTATTGGGGAATCGGGGAAGGGGAACAGACAAGTTGCTGTTCTTTTGTTCTTCAGTCTAGCTGTGGAGGACGTCGCTTCACTGGCCCAAGTTGGTATTATCATTGTGCTCTTCTTGGGTGAGGCAGTCGTTCGCTGGCCATTGGATGGTTGCTCACCGCGGCTCACAGCAGTCACACCAGCTGCTGGCCAGTCCCACTGCAGCCTACGCCGTCACCGGCGACTCATGGCAGCCCAGCTCCAGGTTGAGCTGTTGTTCACCATCTTAGCTATAGAGGACGCAGTGTCACTGGTCCTCATGTGGGATTCGAACCAGGGTCCTGCTGCTCAGAGCTGGCGTCCCAAGCCAACACCTAACCAACGCGCCACTTGGCCGGCCCAGGGTTATAAACATTTTTGATAAAGGAGTATGTCACTATAATGTATGTCCTTAATGAACAGAGCAAATGCTGTTTTAAATTTTAGTGAACATCTAATTCTATAACCATGTAGTCACTCAGAGAAGTTTTCCTCTTCATCGAGTAAAACAACTGTGTCTTTGTGAAAATAAAACTCTTCAAATGCAGTTTGAGCCTGTCAACACGATTCTGTCGTCATGACCCAGTTTAAGAAAATATTTTTAAATGGTATAAATAAGCTTTTATTTTCTTTGTTCATTCTTCCGTTGACTCTTTATCATCTTAATGTTGGAGTATGGTGAACTTTCCTCTTACTGTCGGGCTGTATTTTACCAGGATTTGCTCTACAGTAGAGACTCATCTTTAATCACTGCCTGATAAATGTGTTAGGAGACATTCCCCTTGCCCCCCCCCACACACACACGCAGTCTTAAATGGCTTGCCTTGCGGGGAACTAATGAGTTGGTATGCGTAAGTAGTGAACCATGTAAAAACCTTTTAAGGCAGACAGAACAGTTCTTTTTGAAGTTTAACTGAAAAGAAATTTTCAGAAAACATTACACTCTGTATTCCTGAATAAAGTTTAATTCAATGGAGAGAGGGATGAAATGGTGGCTGATCCTTCCTGAAGAAATCCTCCCGTATCCCAGAGGCTGCCTGTCCAGAGGGAAAGGCCCATTCCACTGCTGCTTGCAGCAGAGTCTCAGCCATCGTTATCTTTTGCTTAATGAATGAGTTCAGTCAGTAGTAACCTACTCTTCTTGTTGTGGTGAATAGAGAAAAATTGAAGGCATGGAGGATATGACTGACTTTGTATAACCTTTAATTGTAGGGGAAAGAGGTACCATCTATTCATTTATATATGAATAAAAGATATACCTAAGTAATAGAATTCAAATAATTAAAATAAATGCTTAGGAAATATGAAGTAACTTATAATGAACACGAAGTGAGGACAATCCCAAAGATGACTTATAAATCAACTTGAGTCACGTTTTGTCAGTGTAAGGAGATTCTTGGTACTGAATAGAGTGACTCATGATTGTTTCTGTATTTGATGGAAAATTAATCGTTGGTGATTGAGAAAGTTGAAGCAAGGGTCTCACTTGCCTTAAGATTGCTATCATTCATAAAATGAGCAATAAAAATTACTGTCTTTGAACAGACCTCTTGAAGAAATTTCAGCTGATTTTATACCCCTGTCCAGTGAACTGTAGCTGGTTAAAATGCAGAACTGCAAAGAAAAGGAACTTTTTTTTTCCCAACAGAAAGATAGATAAGATATCCAATAGAAGGACATAAATATCTTTTCAATATCATTATATAAAGTATCTTTCCAAGAGAAGGACATATAAATGTATAGGAAACAAAGCTTTTAGGAGTTTATTAAATAAGCATTTAAAAGCTATTTAGTCACATTATCTTTAAATGTACGTTCCAAATGGATCTTCTCTGTAATTTGTTGTGAGTGTGCAGCTACAGTTTCCCTTCTGCTAAAATCAGCAATCTTGAGTGTTTTGTTATTTTAGCTTTGGGGGCTGAAAAGCTGGTATAAGTAAACCAACGCAAACCCCAAATACCTTGTGGAGCTTCCCTGTCCATACATATCTGGGATGCTCGAGAGAGAGCGTGGTTGCTGTTGGTGCTGACGTGTGCAGCCCATGTCGTTTAGCAGGTATTATAGGAGGAATAGCTTCTGAATACTGTTCTGTGGCACTGTTCAAAAGCTTTCTATGACGGCTGTAAGGTATTTTTCTTCTTTTTTTTCCCCCGGTATATCCACTCTTTATCATCTCTCCCCTCTCTAGTGAGTTTTACGCATGTCTTTGTTTCCCTAAAGCAGTCTTTTTCCTCCACTCAGTTTTTAGTTCATTGTTCCTGATATTTCTTTGTTTTGGTGATGGTTTAGGTAGTTCAGATGACCAGAGTAGAGAGGATATTTCAGTAGCAAGACAGGAGCAGGAGTGAATAAGAGTCATTGGCTTGTCTAATTGTTCTTTGCCGAATAAAACTACTTAGAGGGCCAGCCGAGTGGCGCGATGGTTAAGAGCTGGCTTGGGACGCCAGAGAGCCCCAGTTCGGATCCCACATATGAGGGCCAGTGACACTGCCCCCCACAGCTAAGATGCTGAACAACAGCTCAACCTGGAGCTGGGCTGCTGTGAGTCGCTGGGCTGCAGCCCCTGCTGCAGTGGGTTGCCATGGGCTACCGTCATGGGCTATTAGCATGAGCGGCCAGCAGCCGCAGTGAGCGGCTGTCCAGAAGCCAGTGACTGATCTGCCTCGCCCAGGAAGAGCAATGATGGTGCCAACTTGGGCCAGTGAAGCAACGTCCTCCACAACTAGACTGAAGAACAAAATGACAGCAACTTGTCTGTTCCCCTTCCCAAATTCCCCAGCGCTGTTCCCATCCCCACAATTCCCCAATAAAAATATTTTAAAAAAACACCAAAAAACTACTTAGAGGTACACGATCAGATTTTTTTTTAAAGATTTTTATTGGGGAATTGGGGGAGGGGAACAACGCTGGGGAATCATAGAAGGGGAACAAACAAGTTGCTGTCCTTTTGTTCTTCAGTCTAGTTGTGGAGGACGTTGCTTCACTGGCCCAATTTGGCACCATCATTGCGCTCTTCCCAGGCGAGGCAGATCAGTTGCCAGCTTCTGGACGGCCCCTCACAGTGGCTGCGGGCTGCTCACACTGGCTGCTGGCTACACACAGTAGCCCATGGCAACTCACTGCAGCAGGGGCTGCAGCCTACGCCCAGCAGGCGACTCACAGCAGCCCAGCTCCAGGTTGAGCTGTTGTTCAGCATCTTAGCTGTAGAGGGCAGTGTCACTGGCCCTCATATGTGGGATCTGAACTGGGGCCCTCTGGTGTCCCAAGCCAGCTCTTAACCAACGCGCCACTCGGCCGGCCCACAATCAGATTTTTTTAAAAGGAGAGGGTAATTTTTACTTAAAATAATTTCTTTAAGAAAGTTAATTAAGGTATATAGACATACAATATTATAGGAAGTTTATTTTAAACAGGTGCTGAATCATCCCTCAGAATTAAGAGGCTCTTTTGTTATATAGAAACCTCATTTAAAAAAGTATTCCTAGAAATGCATTTTTATCTCTAGAGTGCTAGCAAACATAATGGCATGTTAACATAGATGGCTATTTTCTTGATAACTCCATTAAAAGAAAATGTTTCTGTTTTGATGAAAAAGATTTGGCTTATTTTCTTTCCCCATCCACTCTAGTCATTTTAAAAAAATTGATCTTCTATTGACTGGTTTTGCTTTGCTTTCACACTGATCCTTCGTGTTGTGTCAAGTTCTTGATTCGTCCTTGCCCCGGATCAGTCTTGTACTTCAGTGAATGCCTCTCACTTCTCTCCCTTTGGTTGGAATTTTAAAAAATCTCCTCTGAATTAATAAAATCATCAGAATTTTTCAGCATAGTTAGGTAAAAGTATTTTCCACTCCAGCAGAGGCTTATCTTTCCCTTTGCGTGGGCTCAGTAGATGGATGCAAGGTGGATTCAGGAAACATACTAATAAAACTGATACATAGTGAAGAATACTGCACGTGTAAAATACTTTTTGTTATCTTAAAAGTGGCTTTGACGCTTGGTATTGTTAGAATTATGTAATGATCATTGCCCAAAACACATTGCAAACAATTCACAATGCCTTGCGTGATCCTAGCCTCCCAGCTGTTTGCACCATGCCAAGGTCATCTTTGCTAATATGGTGGCGAATATCCACCCCCAGGTTTTCTAGTCTTTATTCATATATATTTATAATTATTCCTTTATCACTTATTTTTATAAAAATGAGAGTATGCAACAGCTTGCTTTATTTACTTAATATATTTTTATATTATGCTGCCTCATTCCATATTGATCTACTTCATTCTTTATAATGGCTGATCATATGATTATACAGATATCCTATAATTTTAGTTCACCAGTTTCTTATTTATGGACACTTATTATGTGGTTTCATTTTTCAATATTTACAAGCATAGATGCAGGGAATATCCATATACATATATTTTGCAGGTTTTCCAATAGGGTATTAACCTTATGTGTTGTGTGTGTTGCAAATATTATTTTCATGTTTGTCTTTTGATTTTGCTGCTTTTTACTAACTTCATGTTAAGTAAAAAATAAATAAGATGATGCTTCTGAGGTTGGTCACATTATCCAAGAATAGACTCACATTTTATAAACAACCCCTATTTTTGCTGATGCTATTTTAAAGCAAACCAGGAAGCTCATTAATAATCTTGGATTATGACCATCTTAAAACAAGACATAAAATTTATTTAAGAAGGTTGCTACAATAAAAACTGTTTGAAATTGAGTCCCTTTGAATGGAAATTCCGGTGTGGTCATCATTCCCGACGCCATTCCTAATGTACTGTTGAATTACAAGAGTTAGTCCATGACAAAATTGACATATTTTAGGAATGACAGTCTGACATATAGGTATACTGTAGTCATAATCATCAACATTTCCCCCAAACCTTTGTTGGTAAATTGAGATATGCAAATCAAATTTGAAGATGGATTTTAATGGAATTATGAAAGAAATAATTTCATAAAGCAAATAATCACACCTTAATTAATCTGTCATATAAATATGTACTTAAAGTGTGAAGTACATCTTTAATTATGTTTAAATTTTTTTAAGTTAAACTTGCAAGTAAAATTGCAGCTATGAAGTGTCTGTTTATTTAGGATGGGAGGGAGGTATTAAACAGAGCCCTTATACATTGCCTATACTTCCTTGATTTCTGTAAATTTGAGAAAAATTTAAGTACAACCTGTTTAATCCTTTGAAGTTCATATACATATATAATCTGTGTGCTATATTAAGTCTTAAAACTAACCCAATAAGCTTTTTTTTCTTCCTGGCTTTGTAGTATACTTCACCTCGCAGTGGTATCTTCTGAGTAAACCATTGATGTCTGTGCTTAGTTAGCATGTGGTGAGTGAAGAATAACGTCTTGTGTCTTTTGTGTAGAAATCAAATGTATTGCATGATACTAACCATTTTGCTGGGATTCTTTTGCTTCTTTTGCTTAATGAATATATGATTTTGCTATGGGTTAATATAGGTATTTTCTGTTAATTCTGCTTTATAGATTAATAATATATAGATTGATAATCACCACTACCAATAAGAGTTATACAATTTTAGGAAATTTTAGTTCTTTAAATAGTACTTGAAAGTTTCAGAATTGTTCTTTGAAATTTTGTTAAAGAATCCAAAAGAGTTTTTATGTATTATTCCTTCTCATTTTTTTATTTCCCAAGAATGGTCTTTGAGGTCAATAAAGATGGCTAGAGAGAAATGAAAAATAATTTTCTAGCTAAAAGTGAAGTGATCTATTTCATGAATCCAGATATTTCACCAATCCAGAATTTAAAATATTGTAAAGCCTACTTAGAGTCAAGACTAGTCTAAAATAAGGAAAACTAGTAAAGTTGGTTTAAAAATCAATGCAGTTTTATTACTTCCTGGGATCATATAGTTTAACAAAATAACACATTTGTCCTGAGGAGCCCCTTAGGCAGCCTGCTTTAATTGATTGTGGCTGTGCTCTAATTAAATATTACTACAGTGAAGTGCCGGCATCTAAAATGTTTCAACACAGTTACCTGTCTTCACTACGTAAGCGCGTCCCCCATCACCGCTACGTATTATTCATGCTATTAGCTGGATTTAGCACTGCCTGGAAAATTTAGGGTACATTTTTACCTCAGACTTTGCTAGAATTTTCACAAGTCACAAATAAGCTGAATCACAATTAATAGAGTTTAATTATAATTAAGGATTCTCTGATTGTTAATTCAGCTAGTATTCAGCTAACAGTATCAAGGTTTAAAGTGCCAATATACAGCATTTAAAAAAACTTTTTGCTTTAAAAATCCTTTATGCCTTGCCTACATTTGAGTCTCATTTTGATTGTAATATATACCAATTAACTTGCCTTAGTGATTATCTAGAATTATCTTTAATTATGTAAATCCTATATCAAACCAAATAAGTCTTAAGTTTTCCTTTTTTAATAATAATATACATGCTGCATCATGCTTGTTATTATATTATTGCATTTAAATTTGTCATTAATCACTGGAAATGTATACTGTGTAACATTTCTATTGATTGATTAATTTATTGATTGTCTCCTCAAGTTTTAGTGTGAAAAATTTCAAACATAAGATTTACAAAAATGCTACAATAAGCACTCTTATACCCTTCACCTATATTCACCAATTATTAACATTTTGCCACGTTTTAAAATTTTCTGTCACTCTTGCTCTTTCTCTCCATATGTATTTTTCTCTCTGTAACATTGACAGTTACTTGCAAACATGAACTAAATATTTTGGCAAATATCTTTAAGAACATGGGCATTTTTCCACATGCTCATAATAAAGTTATCAATCCTAGAAATTTAATATTAACATAAAACTGTTATCTAGTATATAGTAAATACTCAACATTTTCCCAATTTTCCAAATAATGTCTTTCATACTTTTTTAAGTTCCAGGATCCAGTCTAAGATTGCACATTGCATTTTGTTGTAAGGTTTTTCTAGTCTGTCTTTTAAACTGTTGATTGGGTTGTCGGAAGAGTCATGACATATTTTTTCTATGTTCTTTGTTGCAAAAATGCGTCATGACTTTTCCGACACCCAATAGAAAAGGTCTCCCAGCTTCTTTGTCTTTCATGACATTGACATTGTACAGCATTACTGAATCATGCATGAATTTCTTCCCACAGCAACACAAGCTAAGGCTTCAAAATTATAACTGACAAGGGAATTTCAGTTTAACAGAAGGTCTTTCTTGTCTAGATTTCTAGGACCAACATGATTATTGAGCTAGTTTTATAAATAGTATACTATTGGAAGTAGTGAATTACATTGTTCGTTTACAAATTGAGAGGACTTTAAATATTTCATATATATATGAAGTTTGTCTCTATTACTTAATCTTATTTGGTAGTTTATTTTTATGGCTTTTTATTTTATATACCTCATACTTGACTATAGGCTTTTAGCATTTTAATTAGAGATTAATTAAATCTCTAATTTAATTTAATTAGAGAAACCTTATTAGGAAGGTTTAGCATCATTTCTCATAACATTTGAAGTTTTTTTTGAAAATAAGTTTATTGTAGGTGAGGCATAGCTTTTTACACCAAAATGCTGCTTGTTTTCTGCTGCCTTGCCTATCATCCTGGAGAATTTTAACACATAGAAAAATCAACACATTAGAGAAAGGGAAGAATACTTTCTCCTACTTAAATCCAGCCTAAAGAGCTGCATCCTAGAGAAATTCTGCCAAGTGAGCATGTTTACTCCTGGCTTTCTGTCATTATGACCTGGTAGCTTTCAATACATGCTGAAGGATGTGCAGTTCCAGTGTCACTTAAAAAATACTGTTTTCTGGGATTGCTGGCTCTTAGGTCAGCTCATTCCAAGGACATTGATGTTTTAAAGATGCCTTTAGGATTTAACATTTCTACTTCAATTCCCCAGGCCATAGAATATAATTTTATTTTAACTTGAAACAACACATCCTTTAAAAAGTTGGCTTTAAATTTTTTTTTTCTTTCTCTCTCTCTTTTATCTTCTTTTTCCAGTCATGGCTCCGATCTTCATCTTGAAGAAATGAGAATAATTTCATGTTGGACAAGCTTGGAAAACTGCACATTTGCAGTTCTTTGAGAAAGAAGCTCTTATTCAGGGCCCCTCATGTAGCCAAAAGACCAAGGAAAATCTGACACAGGCCCACAGATATACTGCAGACTGCCTTTAAAATAGGGTGTATCAGTGGAGAAATGGTGATAGTTTTTCCTTTTTTCTTCATTTTTCTTTGGTTGGGAAGAGTTTTATGTTGTTTAAAATTTTTTGAATAACTTAACCTGATTTATGGGCTCACTTAAATGTTCCTTTCTTCCATTCTTTTTGTCCCTCTTTTTAAAGAACTGCTTGCCTTTTCTATTTATTTTTAGAGTGATTTAAAAAAAAACACACAAAACTTGTGCAATACACTTTGAGGTGAAACTTAGTGGATTTTTTTTCTGATAAATTAGGTCATTTAATTGACTATTTTATCCATATTGATTTGTTGAATACGCTAAAGACTAGTTCTTTAAACTATGACATGATAAATCCAAACAGCAGTACCTCATTGTTTACTTAGCTTTTGTACTTATATTTTTCAGAGGAAAAAAATACTACTGTAAATTGTAAATAGTACATAACTATTGTATGCAAATCCGTGACTGTTGGCAATGTCATCTTGGAAGAACAGATGAATAAAGTTTATTTACTATATAAAATTTGCTTATTGTGCTTTTTTTTATGTTGAAATCTATTTCAAAATAGCTCATTTGTGTTCTATCTGGGCAAATACAATGAACTATTTGTTAGGATGAGCATTTGGAAAGATATTTTTTATGTTCAAAATTAGCATGACCAATTTAGAAGAAGTATGGAAACAAGAAATACTTCGTGGTGTGCGTTTCAGGACTCTGCCAGCTTGGAGATGCCTGCTCACTCTAGAGCAGACCATACTTTCATTCTTTTCAAACGCAGTGACAGAGAAATTTCTGGCCACCTAGAGATGGGAACTGTTCAGAGGGTTTCATACATGCTTTATATTCTAGCATACAACAGTGTTCAGTATCTGGGTACTATCTAACCTCGGCCTCAAGCTGGAATCTCAGTTATCCAGTCAGTCTGGACCTTAGCGTTGCTGGTGTGTCGCATTGTGCTGAAGTGTGGGGAACTCTGGGATGTGGATGACCAGGGGTCTTCCTGTTAACCCACAGCTAACTCCTTCGAGGGCTACTGTTCCAGCAAGAGAAGAGGGTCTTCTTACCTTTTTTTTTTCACCCTGCAAATTAAGGTTACTTAAGTAGCAACATTTTTTCCCACTGAAGGATTTCTGACAATAGACATGACTTCCTACCCTTTTTATAGCTTTTCCTAGGGTAGACTGTGACGTCCTAGTGAAATCATATATAACTTTTAACAATTCCTCCATAACCCATTTCTGGAGACAAGTATATTAAAAAGAATGCAGGGGTCAGCAAACATTTTTTAATAAAGGTCCACGTAATAAATATTTTTGACTCTCTTGGCCATGCAGTTTCTGTCACAACCTCTCACGTTTGTCACTGTCGTGTAAAAAAAATCATAGATAATACATGAATGAGTATAGTCATGTTCCAGTAAACATTTATAAAAGCAGGTGGCAGGGCGGATTTGGCTCACAGGCTGTGGTTTGCCAACCGATGAGGAAGCACACAGGCTGGATTTTAAACATGAAGTGAGGGGAGGAGGGACCATCAGTTGATATATAGGAGCTGCTCATTTTTCCTCAATGCAGGCATGCAGACCTTCTTTCAGAAAAAGGTGCAGCCAATTCAGTTCACTTTGATGAAGAAAAGTGGTGATATTCTCTCACTTGTTCTAGCGAGAACAACCAAGTCTTACATTGTGCTCAGTGTCTGAGTCTCAGATTTGTCTGGGACCTGTTCTTGAAGATCCCCTGTAACTGTCCCCGACTGATGCCTGGGAAATGAGAGTTTTTCCAACAATACTTATAGGACACGTTTGCATCGTAGATGACATACAGTCTGCTGAATACTTTGCCTTCCACTCTCGGATTGTGACTTGCAGACCAACTGAGGTTTGTGATGGCCGAGGGTCGGCCCAAGGCCACACAGAGAAAGCTGTCTGAACTCAAGGTTCTCTCCAAGACCTCATGACTGCAGCGCATAAAATGGTGATGCTGTAAATTTATTGTCAAGAAACAAACCATTCATTTAAAGATGTTACGTTAGCAAGTTTTGGGAAAAAATTTTACTTGCAGCTACCAGAATTCATTTTATAGTCACTTTGTTCAGGTCAGGTGTGTGTGAATTGCGGTAGAGAACTACCTTGTTGACGTATGGCTTAGTCCATTTGGGCTCCTATAACAAAAATACCATAAACGGGTGGCTTCTAAACAATGAACGTTTATTTCTCACAGTTTGGAGGCTGAGAAGTCCAAGGTGATGGTGCCAGCAGATATCAGTGTCTCGGGGAGCCTGCTTCCTGGTTTGCTGGCAGCTGTCCTTTTCGCTGTTACCTCACGTGGTGGAAGAGGCAAAGGAGCTTTCTTGGGCGTCTTTTGTAAGGGCACTTACCCCATTTCCGAGGGCTCCATCTGCATGACCTCCTCGCCTCCCAAAGGCCCCACCTCCTGATAGCATCACTGTGGTGGTTCGGTGTTAACATGACTTCAGAGGGAGGCAAACTTTCAATCTATAGCAACTTGAATATTGAATTCGGCATTCCTAAATCAAAGAACTGGAACACCACTTCTGATTTTCTGATGTGTCAACGCTTGCCTTTCTTCTTTCAAAAATTTATTAGCCACAAAAGCTCCAGCCGGTAGAGTAAGTGGCGCGCAGAGGCTGTCGGGGGCTCATGCCTTTCCCTCCCAGCAGGGCCCAGAAGATGGGGGAGGCTCAGTGGTACCTCTCAGCCCCACAGCAAGCGGGAGCTGGAGGGCTGCTAGCCCTGAAAAAGCAAACGAACAGAAAAGACCTTTTGTCTTTGTTTTCTTTGTGATTCTGAAAGAAATGTAGGCTCATTGTAGATAATTTGGAGGATATATTTTGTTAAAACAAACAATCCTCCTGAATTCCCAAACAAGAAATCACCACTGTTATTATACTACTTGGGTGCATTTAGTCATGGGGCCTTTTTCTAATGTGTGAATGGATATATAAAAGAAGAGTGTGTGTGTGTGTGTGTGTGTGTGTGCGTGCCTACATTTGTATGTCTATATTGAGAGCTATTTAATTTCTTTGACACTTTTTGATTGCTGCATAATATTTTATCCTGTGGATATGCCATCATCTAACCCCTGTCTCTACTGTTGAACGTTAGGCTGTGTAATTAGTCCCTTGCATCCAGTACTCCTGCTGACCTTATTGTCCATGCTGTAAGCACTCTTGAAAAAACAATCCAGGACCAACCTGTCTTTCTCTCAGTAGCCTTTGTTGGTACCAAACAAGTGGACACATTTCAGATTACTGTGTGCAGCGTTTGTCTGGCACCATTTTCCTAACATTCCAGAGATGTGATGGACGAGTGAATGTTCTGAGTCAATATGCTGTTAGAACACTACATTTAAAAACTGGGCTTCACCCAAAGTTGAAGTGTTGCAGACAAATTGAAACAGCCATGTGTAAAGCATGCTTTCCATGGTGGGGGTGGGTGGGTGGCAGGTGGGGGTGCCGGCCAGCAGCCAGCGGCCACCCTTCTGGTCCTCGAGCCATTTGTTTCTATTGTAATAACAATTTCCTCATGCCTTCATTCGGGATCCTCTTTAGTTAGGTTTTGTTGATGTTGGTACATTCTTTAGAAGTGTTCAAGCACCAAACATGTAAATACCACCTCAGTGACCGTAAACAGTGCAGCCATTTAAAAATGTATAAAGATTTTTCTCGGAACCAGGCAAATACGCAGCTCTGGGTACGTCGGTGCCTTGCCTATATTTTCCCAATTACTCATTCCCCTGGCGCAGGAAGACTTCCTGTTGCCTGCCTCGCCGCCAGATTAGGCTGCCTCCCCCTTTTAAATGGGGAGTGTTTTGGTGTCTTTCCCTGTCTGTCCCTCTTTCTTTTTTTTAGCCCTACATGCTGGGAGTGGGTAGGACAGATAAGTTGTCTTTTTAATTCACAGGTCTCCAAAGGAAAAAGACTCAAGATCTGGTGTGGGTCGTGACATCCTGAACATAAAGCCTGATGCAACGATTGCATGGGACTCAACAGAGAACAGCCTAAGCCCAAACAGGTGCCTGAATGCTGCCGGAAGTGGGCAAAGAGGACGAGTCGTGCAACAGACAGGCAGAGTCTGCGAGGAGGGGCTTCACTGACCGACCGGGGTGGCCTCACCAGCCCCCGCTCTCCTCCCCGCATGCTGCCCTGCCTCGAGAGCAGCGTTTTCTTTCCTTTTCCCTCAGAGACATCCATGCTGAGTGGGTCGGGTCATCCTGCAGGGGTCCTTGAGGATCTTAGGCTGAGCTCCAGTGTTTGCAGGCCAGAGCCAACGATCACTTGGAGTTGCCATGACTTCTCTGGGTGCTGGCCTGCAGGGCAGGTCAGGAGGGGGCCCCTCCTTTAACCGTGGCTCCACATCTGTTGGAGAAGACTCAGGATTTCCTGGGCCTGAAAACCAGCATTGCCACCTGGTGGTCTATTTGTCCTGGAAGTGACCACCTTCCTGCATTACCCTGGGACAATCAGGGCCTGTGCAGCTCTGCCGTAGGTCTTCAAGTCCCCAGCTGCCCAGGAATCCTGCTGTCAGAATTCACCGTGGTTCTGCCTGTGTTGATGAGAACCAGATTTGCAGCCGTAGCCACTGGGTCTAACTAGCTTGGCCGTTTCCTTTTACCTCATCTCTGCTCAGCCTCACACTTGCCGTTCTGTCCTGACCCTTGATGATACCTCTCAGGGCTAACCCTCATTCTGGCCTCCAGGGCTCCTTGACTGTCATTCCCAGCCACCTCTTGGGCCTGATCCCGGCTGTCCCAGGCGGTCATCCTATGTGGTCAGGACCTGGCCGCTGGATCCCACCCCGTCACAGGCCCACAAGGCTCCTGGGGAGGGAATGAACTGGTTCTGGAGGCCTGGCCTGTGCGCTTAAGTATAAAACGAACCTAAGGCCACATGGAACTGCCCCCTCCTGAGGCCAGGAGGATGTGAGCGACACCTGTGAGGTGGGAGGTTAGACCTGCACCTCCTGCGTAGACCCAGAAGCCACTGGAGACTGCCCACCCATTAAACCAGACGTAGAAAAACCCTCCTCTCTGGCCCGGGACGGCCGAAGCTGGGCTTGCCCGTGAGAGCGGCTAGAGGAGGAAGTGCTTGGGAGAGATTCCCACCAGGCGAGTGATGTGGGAACCCCAAGCGGGAAAAGGAACGCACCGCTTGGAGTCCATGGAGACCCAGCATTTGCACAGGAGAGGCTGCTCTGCAGGGAGCCCGCGGGAGCTCGATGGGAATCAGCCTCTGATAAAAGCCAGCAGGAAGGGTTCCAAGAGGACACAGGCCTCAGAGGGAGAGGCAGCAGATACACGACTGGATCTGCACACCTGAGAGAGAGAGAGATGAGAAAACAATCTGGAAGAGACTAATCTAAGGGATCAGAGGAGGGCGCAGGTGTTGGGCAGCAAGGAGGATGAGCACCTGACCGAGCCTTGCGAGCGGGACACCTGACCTGAGTCCGAAGAAGGGTAGGAGGGAAGTCTGCCGGGGCGTCCAAGGCTGGAGGACAGCAAAGC